TACTTGATTGATCGTCATATTGTCAAGAATTTATATTACCATGTTTTTCTTTTCACTAAGCTTCTGGTCGATAAAATAAAGTTTTTGCATGCATGCATGCATGCATGTGTGTGCATATGTTGCTTCTGTTCGTATTTTCACTTGCCAAGAGAGGCGATTGAGTGCATTAACGATGTTACTCAGTAAGATTTCTAAATATGACGAAAACCAGCGATATCTGCTCCAATATATTATTTTACCACAGGGGAACCCATTCCATAGTCAATCTAAGTCAACTAAAAGATAAGCCCACAGCAATTCAACAAAAGAATCATTAAAATAAATAATATTCGAACAAAAGCAAGACACCGTAGCTGAAAACACAAAGTCGCAAACAATGCCAGAAATGCTCCAATTCATCATCAAGGCGGTGTTAAGGACTCAAACAAGATACACTAACCAAGGATATGCAATAAACTCTACAGAGACAAATGAAATTGGCATGCAAAGGAAAGAAAAGTAAGAGAAAAACGTACGAATCCCCCCGTGAAGAACCCAAGGGTCGCTTTAATTGAGAAGAAGCATAAGCATCGTCCCTAGTTCTCTTCATATCTGCCCCCGAAACAAAAACAAAAACAAAAACGACAAGCAATCCTTAAAAATTAGTGGGAAATGAAATAAAAAAGGAGCGCATATAAACAACACACCAGAAAGAGAAAAGGGAGCAAAGAATATAAGATACCTTGCAGTTGGTAGATTTTCTCAGGAAAATATGCTGCGGAAAGAGCAAGCGGATCACTGGGAAGAAAGAAAAAGGCAGTAAAGAGCCTGATCGCCTTTGGGCTTACCTGGTAATAATTCTTCCCTTACTCTGTATGTCGGAGAGAAGAATTGGGACAGGCAGCAAAGGAAGATTCATCAGAAGTGCAAGGAAAATTTATGTTGAAAAAAAGCTGTGGTACGAGGAGCTGAAACTCATTTTGGAGACAGAAGTAAATTTTCGAAAACTGAAGAGCAATCCCTCGTGTTGAAGTTGTTCTAATTTTAGAATTTTACGAGTACTAGGCTTCCATTCCCATGCGGGAAGCCGAGCGCCCTAAATGCGTGGGTTTAAACATGATCCTTCAACGCCAAGCCCGTTTGTTTTTTTTTTTTTTTGGGTTTTGTCATATGACGCTTCGGTTTTAGACTCCCTTTCTTTCCAGGCCCATGGTTTTTCCTGCTGTATCTTTCACGATTTTCGCAGATTCCAAAAGATGGAACTTTTTTCTTTGCCCACACAACAGATTTTGGTTTGGATATTATAGATTTAAAATATTATTATATATTTTCATAAAATAAAAATTTTATTTTATATTAAAATAAAAATTTATTAAATAATTTTAATAATTTTTTATTTTTAATATGATCTAGATTTAATTTCAAAAGTATAATTTAATATTAATATTTTTATAATTACTATATATTAATTATTTAGATATACTCTACATAATCCACATTTAATTTGATGTTAATTTGAATTGTATAAAGTAGGTAGTCAATATATAGCAATTATTAAAAATATTAATATTAAATTAAACCCTTTAAATTAAATTTAGACCGTATTAAAAATAAAAAAATTTATTAAAATTATCTTATAATTTTATAAATTTTTTATTTTAATAAATATAAAATAAAATAATAATTTAAATTTAAACCACCCAAATCAAGTTTGGATGGTCCAAATCTCATCACAATGATAAGCACCGCAGGTCCCTAAAATTATAATATTTATTCATGTTTATTGTTTATTTTAAGTATCTTTTATTCTATGATGTTTAACATTTCTCAATTTTAGAAAAAAAATATAATATAATAGAAAAAATTAATCATTTGATCCTTATAATTTTAACTTAGTTTTAACTCAATTCTTAAATTTTGACTCGTTATAACTCAATTCTTAAAATTTTAACTCAATTATAAATCATTTTATAAACTTTACCTCTTACAATTTAATTTTTAAAGTTTCAACCTCATAAATATCTGTTCCTATATTTTAAAAAATAGAATTATAAAGATTAAAAATATTTTAAATTTTTTTTAAAAAATTTAAAATATTTTTAATCTTTATAATTCTATTTTTTAAAATATAGAAATCAATATTTAAGATGTTAAAACTTGAGGAACTAATTATAAGAAATAAAGTTCAGGAATTGATTTATAATCGAGTCAAAATTTTAAAATCTCAGTTATAACAAGTCAAAATTTAAGAAATAAGTTATAATTGGGTCAAAATTATAAAGACTAAATGATTAATTTTTTTAATATAATATAATAATTATATAAAATTTAAGAATGATACGAGATATATAGATATATATACACGTGTACACACACACGTGAAAAATATAGAGAAATTTTGTAGCCTAGTTGAGAGCAATGGGGCCGTTTTTCTTTTATGAATTTATGCAAACGAGCATTGAAAGTGTGGGTATTGCCGGTTCAAGTCGTGCTCAACATGACCGACCCCACGAATTTTAAAAATTTCAAGTTTGATTATTATTGATTTCCATTTCACTGTTACCCTACATGAAATTTATTTGGAATATATTATATGTGAATAGCGAAAAAAGTAAAATCACTTTTTCTAACAAAAAATTGCACTCTTCCAATATAAGACCTAGTTAAAATCAGCCATTCAATCATAATCAATACTAGCAATTTGGTTAAAATTGGATCACTAATGTTTGAATTGTCTTTATATTCAAGTATAGAATTTAAAATTTAAAATTTATTTACAATTCAGACACAAGATTTTAATATTATAATTTAAAATTTTTTTATTATCTAAATAAAGAATTTAAAATTTATAAATTTTAAATTTAAATTCTTAACTCAAATTCACCGATTCAAACACAACCTTAATAATTTTGTTCTCATTTTTGTATTGTTCGTATTATTTCCTTCTTGCTTGTCTTTTCTCAAATAATCATTTTAAAAAATGTAAACTCTAAACATCTTTTGTGCAACTTGTACTATGTTTTTTTAAAATATATAACTCTAGGTCTCTGCACTTGACTCGTATTTTATTATAAGTTCTAGTAATTTTTTTCAATATTATAAGTCCATACATTTTTGTTTTTTTGGTGTTATAGCTCCCTCTTAGATCCCTACATCTTATTCATGAAAGGATTTAAAATTTTAAAAAATAAAAATGTAGGGATCTAGAATATTAAAAAAATGCAGGGATCTAAAGTTATATTTTTTTTAAATGAAAATTGTATTTTAAAATCAAAACCATGACATGGGCAATGATGTGCATAGAGACTGTACGGGATACTGGGAACAAGTAGTTCATATTGGCCAGCCAAATTGCACTTGAAGCGCTACGCACTACGCACTACGCACTGAGCATCTTCTTGTTTTGAAGCATCACATACATCACAACAAAGTCACCTTTCGAACACAAATATATGCATGACAAAAACCATGCCTCAACAGCTGTCAGCCTAACTTCAACCATTTGTCACCAAAAAAAGAAGTGCAGGTCACATATATACTCTCGTACATGGCATATTGAACCAACAGACTGTCGATTATGTAGCAGGTGCGTGACAAAAGCGGGCACAAAAGTATGGGGAACAAACTGGAAGCACGTGTGTAATGATTTTTAATATTTTACTAAATTTATTCATGTTTTTAATATAATTGAAAGTTATTTGTTTGAATTTATTAACAAAAATATGATTAAATGAATGATTATGTATGAAAATGGGTATGAAAATGTGATTAAAAGTTAGTTAATCAATTCTATCTTTAATTCTGGTTTTTATATATGTAGGGAAGCTTAATTTATAGATTCAAAGATAAAAATTTCAAAACCCAAGTTAAAAAAAGTAAATTTGAAAAAAAAATGAACAGGTCATATTCATGTATTTCACTGCAGCAAAGTGCAATTTTAATAAACGCGCATTGTTTATCTTTAGCGAACTTTTAGGATTTGGATACCTCATTTTCAAGCATTCTTCACCTCCAACAATTGCAGAACGTCTAGGGAAAGCAAAAGGAGCTAAAGGAAGGTTGGAGAAGTTTGAGTTTAGTAAAAAATCAAATGTTTCGCTCAAGATTGCTCCAATTAAGCTTTTCTTCTCCTTCTTTTCTTTACTTTGATGTATATATTGTTGATTTTGTTGTCATTAAAGCCATGTGTGGCTTATTTTCTTTTAATTTAAGGTAGCTATGAACTAATTATTAAATTAAAGCATGCTTGAACTATTTATTTGAGCTTAATACTATTTTTATCTACTTAATATTGTGCTTATTTGTCTACTTAATGCTTAGCCATCAGTATGAATTTGGGGATTAGGTTTTGCCTTGAAAGAGAAAAATCAGAATTAAACCATTAAATTAAGTAATGTGGGATTAGAATTATTTTTAATTTTTTAATAGAATGGGAATATACCTATTAGACCCATATAATCACATTAGAGTGAGTTTGTGCCTTTTTGCCTCTTGAGTAGTTATGTTAGGGATAACATATTAATTCAAGAGAGGAGTGTAATTAATCAGAAGATAATTACTCCTATTAATGCTTTAGATTAACAAATTAATATTAAGTAAATTTATTTAGATAATTACATGTTCCATGAATTAAAGAAGGAATTAGCCATCTTAAGTTGCCTTGATTATTTATGGTTGTTGGAACTTAAATTTTAGTACATTTTTATAACTTTAATTTCTTATTTTGAGAAATTAAATTCAAATTTTGTTTTGCTTGACTCAAACTCAAATGGAAAATTTATTGCCTAATTACCAATTAACTTGATTCTCTGTGGAATTACCTTGATTTACCGTTTACTATTTTACGAACCGTACACTTGCAGAATCTATTACATTTTTGTGTACATCAAGTTTTTGGCACTGTTGCCGGGGAATTAAGGCAATCGGTAATTAGCATTAAAAGATCTTCGGTACATAAAAAATGCAAATTAGTGAAAGATTCTCTATTCCTCTCTAAAATGGCAATTTAATGAGGAAGTTAATAAAAAAAATGTTAATTTCATAACCCAACTTAATCTTAAGGCATTTTGCATCACCTTACCTACTCACAATATTATGGTAAAAACAAAAGTTCTTCCTCGCATTCCCACATTCACACATTCAAGCAAAAGACTCGGGGTGTTAAGAAATAGAACATTGCATGATATGTGAACAGGAAAAAAATAGCCATATTCAAAGTGACAAGGAGCAAGGTCTCTGTAGCTACCTAGCTATTTGTCAGATGGGTTGGTCAATGAAATTGAAGTGTCTCCTTTAAAGATTGATCAATGCAAAATAAACCCCGCCTGGTCCCTTAGCCAACAAGGATGAATGTGTCCCTTTCTCCACCACCTTCCCCTTCTCCAACACAGCTATTACATCACACTTTTGAATAGTGCTCAACTTATGTGCCACCACCATACTCGTCCTCCCTACCATAACACGTTCTAGTGCTTCTTGCACTGCCCTTTCTGACTGGCTATCCAATGCACTTGTCGCCTCGTCCAATAGCAATACTTCAGGGTTCTTCATTATCGCTCTCGCTATTGCTACCCTTTGCTTTTGACCCCCTGATAGTTGTACTCCTCTATCCCCACACCATGTCTCATACCCATCCTTTAAGCTTGATATGAACTCGTGAGCATTTGCTACTTTTGCTGCCTTTACCATCTCTGCTTCATCAACCTCATTCCTTGCTCCATACACAATATTTTCCTTTATGCTTCCTGCAAATAGTGTGGGCTCTTGGCTTACTAGTGCTATGTGTTCTCTCAATGTCCTAAGGTGGTATGACTTTATGTTTATTCCATCTATGCTCACTATCCCTTTTAATGGATCGTAAAATCTCTCGATCAATCCTATGATGGTTGACTTCCCAGACCCACTTTGCCCTACCAATGCTGTTGATTTTCCCGCTTCCATTCGCATTGAGAACCCTTGAAAGATCATGTTATTGGGCCTAGTTGGTTATGAAAAATGAATATCACAAAGTTCTATTAGGCCTGTAAGCTTATTAGGCTTATACCCATTTTGGAAATTAGGTTCAATTTTTGTGTATCGATCAAGAACTGTGAAAAGGGAGCCTAAAGAATCTGCACCTTTAACAAGGTCAAGAGTCATGCTTCCTGCATCTGCAATGACACGACTTGTGCCCATTAGAACCATGAATGTTTGAAATAATGCTTCAGCTTTGATAAGACCAATAGACATTAGCCTCCCACCATACCAAAAGTCTAAGGCCCAAGTACAAGCCGTGATGCTTTGTGAGAAAGCAAGCCCAATGCCTGCAAACCATGATTGTTTGAGGCTCTCTTGTCTTGGGCCTTCTTGGGCTTTTTCAAGCATTTTGAGTATTCGATCTTGGGAAGAGAAGGCTGTAACGATACGAAGGTTGGAAACAGCCTCTGCAGCTAGCTTACTACATTCATCCTGGGCTTTACTAGCCTTTTTAGATATGCTCTTAAGTAGGACTCTCCTAGTGTAATAGCTGACTACGATAAGGGGTTGAATAGCTACAATGACAATGGTGAATCTCCATGAAATCACTAGGCTAATTGTGCAAGCAATTATCACCGTCGAGAAAGTTTGTATCAATAGAGACATTCTGTCTCCTATTAGAGACCTCATCTGTTAAATATCACTATCAATGTTAAAAAAAAGTATTCCTATAAAGTAAACAATGATATAGGAAGAAGCTAAAAAGGTTATGAAATGGACAACAAAAACATAGATATTGAATGTAGCCAGGAATCATTCTGGCTAAAGAAAAGTAGCCAAGTAATGTTGAACATGAGCACTTTATGTTCTCAACAAAACTTGCCTCAGACAGTGTAATTAAATTAGGGGGGAAGATCAATGCCTAACAAACTTATCCAACGTAAGAGGTTTTTTTTTAGGTTAAGGGTAGGGGGATGAATGAGAACTTACCACATTGGCATCTTTCGCAAGTCTAGAGCAAACTGCACCAGTAGTATTCTCAGGCTGATCAAACCAACTTACTTCAAATGTAAGTATCTTAGAAAATGTTCTCTCTCTTATCCTTTTGGTTAAGTACTCTCCCATATAAGCGAAGCTATAATGCTGGCTTATACTAATCAATAGTGATGACATCATTAAACCCAGATAATAGAGTGCAAAAACCTTCATCTTCTTCTTAATCTCGTCATGGTCTGTTAGAAAAAAGGTAGAAACCATGGACCCCATTGTGAATGAGAATAATGGGTAAATTGCGCCAAATAGAAACGCACTAAAACACCCTAAAGTAGCTTGTTTCCATTCTGGGAGATTTAGGGCAAGCAACCTCCAAAACGAGGGAACATGGAGTTTCATTTCTTCTACAGAAACATCAATTTCTTCTTCAGCACTTGAAACTTGACTCTGTCCCATTGAATTTGTAGAGCTAGATTGAGCCACGAGAGATAGTCTTTTGCTATCGGTGTTGTTTATGTCCTTATCTAATACAGTGGAAGAGGTAAGGATGACTGCATCCTCCTGAGTTGTTCTAGATTTCTCTATTTGGTAGAGATGAAATAGAGAGGCATAAAGTCCATTGTTGTTATTGATAAGCTCATCATGGGATCCTATTTCCATGAGGCTTCCATTTTGAAGGACAGCAATAATGTCGACATTTTGAACAGTAGATAGGTGGTGAGCGATGATGATAGTGGTACGTCCAACAGTGGCATTATCTAAAGCTTCTTGGACAACTCGTTCAGATTCACTATCTAGCGCACTTGTTGCTTCATCAAGCAGGAGGATTTGCGGTTTTTTTATCATTGCTCGCGCAATAGCAATCCTCTGTTTTTGTCCCCCTGATATTTGAATGCCCTGCTCACCTACCTGTTCATGTAATGTTAGTGTTATATTCTTGTAATTAAAGTATAATCTATCTCTTGGTTAAATAGTAAAGCAACCAAATCGAATAATCTATTCACATCTATTGAAAGTATATTAACAGTAAAGCACACGATTAATGGGGCAAAACTTTCAAGTTTCTACATATCTAGGCGAAAAAAGTAAAGGTGTTTATAGAAGTTTTGAATGATATAATTTTATTAAAGTGTTGTCATTATATATTGGTTGGGGGACAATGTAGAATCAGAACCGTTTAAAGAGATTATGACCAAGTGAAAGTCTTAATTCTTCAAGCAAAACCCAAAAAACTTAGAGGAAGTTAGCTACTGTGTTCCTTACTTCTTTTTTTGTTTCAATTAATGGTATGAGAAGATTGAACTTCAACCTTTATGTAACATAAAATATCTTCTAAACCATACAAAAAAATCATGATAAAAGGGCATGATTTAAAACCTCAACCCCCAAATAGACAATATCTCACAGTTTTAGAATTTCCACTCATAACATAGGGGGTAGGTTCAAGAGAAAACAAACTAGGCTGGTTCAAGGCCTAAGAAATGGTAAAACCCACTATTTGAAAAACCTCTTTAACGGACCAGAAAAGAAAAGTTGGATTAGTATTTGAGAAGCTTCTTTAACATGAACATGAACATAACCACTAAATGTGTCTTCAATATTTTCCTCTTTTCAACAAATGGCCCTTCCCTCAAGGGTCGTTAGATTCAATTTGTATGTTTTAAATATTATAATTTTGAAAAAATTATATAGAAGTCCTATGAAGTAGACTTATTTATAAGTAAATCTCACAAAATTTAAAAATCATACTTAGGTCCCTTGAGGCTTGAGTATAATTTGAAATTAGGATAAAAGACAATGATGCTTTTATTAAATAAATATATATTACATCAATCAAATAATTTATAATTACTTTATCAGTAATTTACAACTATAACTTTAAATTTTTACAACTGCAATTGATCGATTAAACAATTAGATTTGTGAAGTTGCAGTTGTAAAAAATTGAAGTTATAATTATAAATTATTAATAAAGTAGTTATAAACAATTGATGTTAAACTTTGTTAATATCATATGATTATTTAACTATTAAATATATGAAATTACAATTATAAAAAAATTAAAATTATAGTGATAAATTACTGATAAAGTAGTTGAAAATTAATTATTTGATTGATATAATGTATATTTAATAGAAGTATTATTGTCTTTACAGCTTAATTTTAAATTACATTTAGGTCCATGTGATTTCTAAATTTCATGAACTTAATTGTAAATAAGCCTACTTCATAAAATCTATGCATAATTTTGCCTATAATTTTTTCTTGAATGATGTAGAAGATATAATGGGAGATACTTTAATCATTAAATTTAAAAAATACGCTCTGTCAGTTCTTCTAAAATTAAATTGAATAAATGATAAAATATCTCTTGAATAAAGAGGGAACAATGTTTAAAAAAAAGAGAAGAAAATATATTTATTTTTTCTTTATCATCCCCTCCCACAATTAAATTGAATTGAAATCTTTACCTTTGTAAATTGCATTGAATTTATTGTTCTTTCTACATTATTTTTACTGTTGTTTCTACACTGCCCCATAATTTATTTTAATCTTATATTATCTTTCTTTTTTTTTTATAAGAATATTATCTTTCTTATCACATTGTAAAGTAACTAACATCTTACCAAAAAAAAAAATGTAGGATTTAGAAGCCTCGTGTGAACTTTTTATTTTAATGTTCTTTTAAACTATTCTAATAATTCTCTCTCTCTCTCTCTCAATTTTAATTCAGAAAAATAAAATATATTATCTCTCTTTCACTAGGAATATTTCACACATTTTAGATATTACTCCCTCCATTTAGAAATGTAAGACATTTTTTAAAAAATTAAATGTTAAAAATATAAGGTATTTTTAATTTTTTAAAATGTAATCATTACCTTTTTTTTCTCAAAGTGCCCCTATTGATGAATAATTTTATATTTGTTATAGGATATTTAATAGAAATAAATATGAAAAGATAGAATTAATTTAAAAATGGGTAACTATTTTATTGTGGATGAGATTCAGATAAAGTAATTTTTAAAATTATTATTTTGATGTTAAATATTTTACTTTTATTAGTTTTGATGGTAGATTTGGTGCTTTCATTTAAAGGATATGAATGAAAGACTGGCGATTTTAATGCCATCAATTTATTTTTTAAAAAAAATATAGAACTCAGGTTACAGGTTTCTAATTGAAATTTCTTACACTTTCATTTTACACTTTCTCTCTATTAAAATTTTATAATCTTACTTGTTTATTTATTTAAAATTTATTAATTTAACTTATTAGAATCTTCTTCTTTCTCTTCTTTCCTCCCAAATCAACTAGAGGATTTAATTTCCTGCATATCGCACGGTCTTAAAATTTAGTTTGAAACAAAAGAAGGTACATTAATGGTTTTTTTTTTTTTCCGGTGGGGCAAAAATTATTAGTTGATCACTGACTTGGCTTAATGATTACTATTATCAAAGAAAATAATCATTTAATTGTGAGACACCCAAGTCACTAACTCGACGACATCGTGGTGAATGAATGGCAAGGGCCATTTACAGGAATTTGGAGTGGAGATAATTTGCTTGGAGGGTTGTCCACGTTGTTGGGTCTAATAGGAGGAAGTTGAATCAGTCAAAAATGAGCAAATTAAAGAAAAGCCCGAGGCACGTGTATGAATAGGAGTGGAGAATGCACTATTAATAATAGCCAAATGATGGCCAGTCAAAATGTTTTGTACGATAGAAATGGATATATGATAAGCAGCACTAACCTGGGTATCGTATCCCAAAGGCAACTGAGAAATGAAATCATGAGCATTAGAAGCCTTGGCAGCCTCCACAATTTCTTCCTCACTAGCGTCTTCTTTCCCAAACAGTATGTTCTCTTTAATGCTTGTTGCGAACAGAGCCGGCTCTTGGCTCACCAGCCCCATCTGCGACCTCATCCACTTTAGTTGCAATCTCTTGATCCCCACTCCGTCCACTCGTATTTCTCCTCCGGTTGGGTCATAAAATCTCTGCAACAGTGATATCACTGTGGACTTCCCTGAGCCGCTCCCGCCCACCAACGCCGCTGTCTTCCCCGCCGGAATCTTAACACTGAAATCCTTCAGGATAATGCTGTCTGGCCTCGACGGGTAAGCAAACTCCACGTGATCGAACTCTACTTCCCCGCGAATTCTCCCCAGAATCTCACCTCCCATGTTCTCTGAATCAATCTTGGGAATTCTTTTTATCACCTCCATTATGCGTTCCCCTGCTGAGCTTGCTTCCGACAGGTACTTCACGTTGGATAAACCAGCTCCCAGCGATCTGTTTCACAAACAAAGCAGCATCAATAATATGTATGACTACAGGAATGTTAAATGAAAAAAGGTTAGGATTTTGTATTTATTACAGTCCGCCGAGAGCCATGGCTGCTCCGACGGTGAAGACGGTGCCACCTTGAGCGCCATGGTACATGACGAGTCGGCTACCGTAATAGCAAATGAAGGACCATATGACGAACACAATACTGTTGCTTCCTATGGCCAAGCCTTTAGCCAAGCCTTGTTTTAGACCAAGCTTGACTGAGCCCTGTAAAGCGGAGGAGAAAGCAGCTATGGTTTTGGTTTCCCCAGCAAAGGAATAGACGGTTCTGATGGAAGATATTGCTTGCTCTGCTATTGCACAGGCCTGGTTATACTCGTCCCTGATCTTGCTAGCCAATCCTGTTAATGTTCTTCCGTAAATCAAACCAGGGATTACGAGAAGAACCACGAAAGGTAACGCTACAATAGCCAATCTCCAGAACATCGAGAAGGCCACGACGTAGCTCGCAACGAACATAGAGAGATTCGTCAGGAAGTTTGGAACCTACAGTTTGGCATGGCACTGTCAAAGTCAAAGAATTTACAAATATCATAACAAAAGTAAAGTAAAAAGTCAAAGAAACAAGTTAGATTTCTGATTCTCTTACTATATGACCTTTTCGCTAAGAAAATCCTGAATTACGGTGCTATCGTTGGAGACGCTGGTGATGACCTCGGACGTGCTTGTAACTTGCAAATCAAAGTATGCGACTTCTTGTCTTAGCATTGCCTTCAAGTACCTGGATCTCATTCTTGCTGCTTGTCTCTGTCCTGTTCTCGTCCAACAATAACCCTCTGCTTATTGTATTCCAAAAGCCAAGAGAACAAAATCAGGATTCTTCTGAACATGTTGAATTGACGAAAGGCACGAAAAAGTCACAGCAACAAGTGGAATTAACTGACCGAGGAAGCATGATAAGAATGACCCACACGCCAAATATAATAGAGACACTGCATTCTGCATCATCAATAAATCCAAATTATGATCTGTTTGTGGGCATGAGTGAGGGTAGCGAGAGAGAAGGAAAGCTAAGAGAGAAACCTCATTAGAGTTGTGAACAAACTCAGTTACATCCATCCGAGATGAAGCCCCTCCTATATTGTTCATCAAGCGGCTGCTGATAAACAACACAAGAGGCCCAGTGAAGCCGTCACCGAAAGACCCCAACACACCTAAAGCCATCAAAAACCAATCTTGGAAATCGGCATGCATGAAAATGGATCGAATAGACCCACTACTTTTCTTCGTTTTCATGACCTCAGCCTTGCCATCCGAACCCCAACCCACCATTCCCCCCGCTTTTTAATTTCTTGGGAAACAGACAACAGCAAGAATATTTCCCACCTAACTTCTCTGTGCAAGGTAGCGTTTCTCTCTACCTTTGCTTGCTTCCGAAACCAGATTTGCGGCTTTGAGCAAGCTAGCTGTCTATCACTACTAACCTTGAGTATTTATAGGATTCAGAACGTGGACAGGGGCTCGTGGTGGGGCAATATCCACTTAGCAATCAGAACTGATGTCCCGTGGTTCCACGAGGAAAGATATAGAAGCAAAGAGCACCATATAATTTTTATAAATTTATGCCTTTATCAATTTTTATTTCGACCACTCTGTTACTTTATTCATTGCCCGTTTGCCCTCCTCTTGCAGAAATCCGTTGTTATCATTTTAATGATCACATTTCATTCTGTTCTTATCATTTCCAACACATATATGAGTGTATACTACGGCTTCCCTGCACTCGTGCATGGTTGAGACGCATGAGTGCCGCCAAGGAATCTGAACCTCTACTCACGGATAACCATTAATTTTTCCCTGGCGGCGGAAACGTAAATTTGCATAGCATCATCTTTTTTTTAACCTATTCATTACATGTCATCGTATTAAATCCTACATATATGCTACGTGTAAGTGGAGCATTTTTGTGACATATATTCCATGTTAGGAACTTCCTATTATTGCGTGCTTTGTTTGACAGGAGCATGCGCAGGCCATGGTCTTTCTTGGTCTTTTTTTTCCCCCTTGGCAATAGCATTAGAAAGCCCAGAGTTCGATGGAGCACAAAATTTGATGAACGTTTTTCGTATTTCTGCTGTTAAATTCTTTTCTAAAAAGATTGTGAATGTATAACTTTCACTGCTTGAATAAGTTGACAAGATCTAGTACGTACCCGACAAAATGGGAGATAATATCTGGCTAGGTTGCGTTGTCGGCCCTTTTTGGCAATATTGCTACCGGGTTTCAGTTATATATATATATATATATATACATTATTCGTTTTATAAGGAAACAAATAAATTAGAGTTTGAGTTTTTAATTATTCATTTATTATTTCAAAAAGAGAAAAATTTATATGCTTAATATTATATATTTGATGTGCTTATTTTTAATTAAATTAAGATATGAATATTTTATATATTATTTATTCTATAATAAATTTTTGTTAATAATTAACACATAAAATACACTTTGTTATGATTTGAATATATTTTACGTAAGTATATTAAGTATTTGAGGGTAAGTACATAAGTTTTACCCTTTCAAAAACATATAAAATTCCTATACTACTAAAGTTTGAACTCCCCTGCTCTCCATAACATTTTTAGTCTTATATATATTTATATATTTAACCTCATATATTTAATGTATTTATTTTAAAATAAATCAAGACATGAGAATATTATTTATTCTATAATAAATTTTTGTTATTAATATTATTAAAATTCATTTGTCTTAGTTCAATTAAATAAAAGTATATGAATTAAATATATAAGGCTAGCTGCATATATAAGTCTTGCACTTAGTTTTCTTTACATGTAATTCTCCCATATATACACTTTCTTTATAACCGCAGGTCCGTAGAATTGACTTGATTACAGTATTAATTAGCTGAACTCACCATCCATGGATATCTTCTACCTTCTACCTTCTAGTCTTCTATCTTCTATTAATTCTAAATCACGTGTTTTTCTTTTTAAAAAAAAAATCTATAATTCTTTTAATGAATCCTATGTACATGAATCACTTTTTAGAAGGAATTTATAATTTTTTAATGAGAATGTATTTAATAAAGATAAATTTAAAAATTTCCTTTTTTAATAAAATTAATTATTTAACTATGTCTCATTAATTTTGGCAGGTAATTAGAATTAGAAGTGTTTTATAAATTGGATTGACTGCATCATAAAAGCTACAGTTCTGATTAAATAAAACCACTGTATATATAATGGATTCAGATGCACATATCGTGTAATAAGTTATGGTGTGCGTGATATTTTTTTACCAACAATTATGGTGTTCTATGAATTAACTTCAATCAACAGTACTAGTGGCTGCTGAGGTGGCTGAAAGAAGATCATTAAGCTCTACATCTGGATTAAAATTGCCACGTAGACTTGATAAAGCATTTATTTTAAGGCATCGGAGGTCAGAAAATGAAATCGCCCGGGCATACGATCCCTGTTGCGCTGTCCATCGAATCAGTGGGTTGAGCCGCCAATCTCAATCGATAGCCACCCTCCATCGTCGTGAGCTTTGTTGCCAATCTCGTTGTCAGGATCGGCCAATTGAATGAGTGGGTTTAGACGAGTAGCTTTCGCCTCTATCGATCGAAGAGAGGTACATCCACAGTCGTGTTTTTTTGTTTTAATGTCCTTGAGCTCTCCCCCCCCCCCCCAACACCAAATGAGACCTTTACGAATTAAGACGAAGAAGACCACTGACTTTAACTGTTTTGCTTTCTCGATTCCTTCCATTAGTAATGGGGGATGATGAGCACCAGTCGGGCCATCCAGCAAATTTAATCACAGATGGCCAGATTTTTTTTTTTCAGTTTTAATTTCATATTCTTCATCAATTTAGATAATATTAATTTAATTTAAATTATTCAATTTAATATTATAATTTTTATGAAATGACTATTTAGATGTACTCTGAATAATAATATTAAATTTTTAATTTTAATAAATATAAAATTAAAATAAAAATAAAAATTTTAAATTTGAATCTTACAGATAAAAATTTAATAATAAATTTAAATTGTTCAGAGTATATATAAATAATTAATTTATAAAAATTATAATATTTAATTAAATCACTCAAATTATATCAATATTATTTAAATTGATGATGAACATATTTATAAAAAAACTTTAAAAAATTTTATTTAATAAAATCATAATTAATTTTATATTTTTTTTGGACGATGAGCACTTTGATGTTGAGCACCGAAGACGGACCATAATGGGCAAGGCTAGTGCTGTCCTGGTCGTCATCTCCTTTGGCGTATGAGGTGGCTGCTATTTTAGCTAGATTGATTCAAACCCCTCCCTCTTTCTCTCTCTATCCATTTAGGATTCTGGTTGTCTCTGGCAATTTTAGTACATGTGTAGAGCCTAGTCACCATCTTCTGTCAACCACATCAGTGGCTACTAATGCCGTTATATTCTCAAAATTAACGGATTTTTATAACAGGGATTAACATCGATCGATAACTAAAAAAAATTATAAGGGCTCGATGAAAAAGGAAAAAAATCGCAGGAACTTGATTAAAAATTGGGTAAAATTATGAGGACTGAGGATTAATTTTCCCTCGATAAACATAGAACAACGATTCTGGATCCAATGCGCAGAAATTATTGACCATGGCAGGAAAAGAAAATTACTTCTGGAGTTTGATGGCACTTTGAACATCACCCATGTCCCCCCGGAAGAGTGGTGCTCGTACCACGAGACGTGAAAAGCAACAGAACTACATAAAAGACGCGCAATAAATATCGCAGATTTGTAGTGCCAAGCTTCTAATCGAGGATCTGATTCGTCACACTCGTGACTAGGCAGCCACATTCATCCGTGACTAAGCATAATGGACACTTCATAAAACAAAATTAAAGTGTGTTTTTCTCGAGAGATTTGAAGCCACTAAACTAGCTTATTTCTATTTAAAAATATAAATATTTTTAATTAAATTTTATCCTCAATAAAACAATTATTTATTTTTATAACATTATTTTTTTATATCTATCTTTATCTAACAGAATGCTTCACTCTGAAATAAATACAAAATAATTTATTCATTAATATTACTGTAAAAAATAATATTTATATTTTAAAATATTATAATTTTAAATATTTTATATTGCATAACATTTAACTTTTTAAAATATTTTATATTTTGTAAGGAGGAAGTATTTTCCTTTATTGAGCGCCCAAGTTTATAACTGGCCAGAACGTGCACATGATCATTGCTTTTTGAAAGCAACACAACTTTGACACGCGTATGTGAGTGTCTTGCATGTTCATTGGATGAGAATGCAATACGACGACCCGGCATTACATAAACAGTTTTCCCACCACCACTTATCCGTTTCTGTTTTTTGGTTTTTTCAAAGCAAATTCCAAATATTGAAAGACCCTTGCGATAAATAATAATGATAATAATAACAATAAAATAGTGATAATAATAATAATAATCCAAAATGACCTTGGCCCCAGGGTTAATAATAATTTATGGATTTATTGTGCTGCAAGTTTTACTTTTGGCATATAATTTCAATGCTATTTCAAATCAAGTTATGACGCATAATGAGCATGATCTTCAATGAATTTTATTAATACTTAATTATAAAATTTATAAGAAACCTAACCCTTCATGAGTCTTTAACATGGATTTAAATTCTCATGAGTTGAGATTAGTAAATTTTTGTGAAACTTTAATTTTTATTATTTTTTCTATTTTTATTATTTTTTATAAAATATAAAACCTTCTCTCTTTATCTTTTTGAAAAAGAAAATTTTCATAGAAATTTACCAATAACAACTTTAGAGAATTTTAGTCCCATAAATATAGACACTTTTGTGGTTCTATTTATAAGACATAAATAGAAGAATAATTTTAGCCCGATTGATAGAACATTTTACTATTTATATATTTATCTTTACATTTCTATCATTATTAAATGTTAAAAAAATTATTAAAAATAGTTTTTTTAAAACAAAATTAATAAGGTTTAATATTTTCCTTAATTTTAATAAATCATGCTAAAAGTATTTTATAAATAGAATCAAAAAGAATACATGGCTTATAATAAATTCTTTTCTAATGCCTGAAAAAGATGACATGATATATAATTAATGTATCAATATAACACACATTCCTCTTTGTGGTCTTGTATATAAGTCATATTCTATAAAGAACTGATAATCTTTTTTACAAGCTACTTTAATTTGCATAAAAAAATTATAATTATTATTAATCATTTTCTTTTAATTTTATTCTTTTATAATTTTCTGTGTGTGTAGAGTAAAAGGTTATGTATAAGTAAGAAATTATTTGCAAAGATGTGTGATACATTTAATAAAGGCAAATTGAAATTTTTTTCTTTATTCTCCAGGCAATACAAA